GTGCCCGGACTTGGGTGGGAAGAGCCGGCCCAGCCCGGGTGCCGGGTTAGGTAAAATGGGAGTTGCAGGTTTAACGGGAGATTAGCAGCACGCTCTAGGACACGAGTCTTGTCTAGAGCGCTCCCGGGCTGCAACAGCGAAAACTGCGGGGGGGAACGTAACGGCATCCGCAGTCCTGTGAGGAGACTAAAACGCCCCGCAGGCGCCCGCCTGGCTTGCAGTGGGGCGGGAGGCAGGCGCTGCACAAGAGCAGGCCACACCTGGAAAGAGCACCACCGCCACATCCTCAGCGCGCAGGCCTCCATAGGGAAAAAGGGACTCGCTCTGGTTGTGGGAGGCTTTGCGGTCGCAGTCCTGTCTGCTCTGAGTGAGATCTGCTGTGGGCAAGGATTAAGATAAACTCTCCCTGCCTCGTGGTATCTCCCCAGTGACTAGACCCAGGTTGTTCCATGCAGGCTTGATAATTTACTCATATGGCCTTTTTGTCTGTAACAGGTTCGTCTGCTAAAGCCTTCACACGTTTTGCCTGGAAGTTGGGTTGTAAGTCAAACACTGACTTGTCTGATGCTTGGCTAAATAATATATCTTAAAATGCAATCACAACATGGAGACTCGGACAAAGATATCAGCAGGGAGGTTACTGCACAAGATGTGTCAGGAGACTCTGTGAACGACACTGGTAACAATGCTACCCCAACAGAAAATGAAGGCAATTCTGTCAACCAAGGTGAGCCCTTCCAGCTGGCTCACTAGGATGAATTTAGGGACCTTTAGTGAACATAAAGCCTAGAAATCAAATCTGTTATTACTCTTCTGGATGCAATATGAGTTTATTCTTTCTCCCACTGAGGTCACTGAAAATCTTGCCATAACTGAGGCTTACTCAATTGCTATCTTATTGTGCTTCCCCCCCCCCCCCCCCGCCCCATTTCTTTAATTTTCTTCTGCCAGGAGTGATACCTTTTCCTGTGTTGCAATCATACAGCTAGCCTGACCTCTGAATGTTTTAATTACAATCATATTTCAATGAGCTGGTACAATCATTTGTTTGCACTGTCTCTTTTTAAGTGTATGGACTACAGGTGCAACCAGAAAGTGCGGAGCAAGAATCTGAACAGAAGAGTATTGAAAATGCAATTAATCAAAGGCAGTCTAAAGACAGCTTGAATGAGTATGGCACTGGAGACACCTTCCAAAGAGTGCAAAAGGGTAAGTTTGTAGAAGAGCTAGACTAACAAGCCGTGCTTGAGGTGACTCACATATGCCATTATTGTAGTCTCTTTGCATGTCAAAGTTAACAGTCTTGTGAAACTCAAATTATTGTTAATTAAACGTGATACATGTAGCAGCTGTCTAAGACCATAAGAACAGTGACAGTATTTTATTGTCACTCTATGTTATAATAATCTTAAGACTAGAGGGTACTACCTGACTTCCAGATCTAAAAAAAAAATATGCAAATGTCAACAATTTATTTTGCGACAACTTGTTTTACTACTTTGCCCTCTAAAAAAGTTGTTTCCTTTCATGAAAAATGTCAGCAAAAGCGTTGGTTAGAACACTTCTTTTCTTGAAATTTGTACTCAAATGCTCTTCAATACCTCTCTAAAGTAATTGGCAACATGACACTTTTTCCCTGGCCACGCTGTTAAACTGCAACTTGTTTTCTTACATACAAAGTTGTTAAAACTCAAGAGAAAGCCATCAACTCTACGTCCAGAGGAGATCAACAGAATGATGAACAAAAATCAGACGGTGATCACAAATCTGTAACCAGCTCATTCGGTCAAAAGGCAGAAGAAAAGAGGGGCTGTGTAAGGTAATACAGTGTTTGTGGATGTTTTTTATCTAAATCTTGGCATCACTGAAGTCAATGGGAGTTTTGCTATTCTACATGTTAATCTTAATTCAGGAGAACTATTTTGAAGACGAACTTGAAAATAATCAATAAATCAGGAATTGGTGATATTTCCAGCAGCTGTACAGTTCTTTTTTGTAGTAGCAAATTACATTCTAACTACATGATGTAGTCTGTTTAATGGATCTGGAGAAAATTGTGCAAACTCTTTTAGGAGTCATGAGTAGATTTGACCATTTCTCAGCATCAATTCAGACAATGCATTGTATTAATTCATCACAATGTAAATGTTATAATTGTCAAGATAAGAGGAGATCCAGAGGTACTTCAGATGGTTTACAATAAGGTACAACTCCTTTGTAAGCTCTGGCTCTAATTTTGGTCCAGCCTAAGCCAGCGTAGGCTGCAATGGCTGTTCATTAATAGTTGTGAAATGGGATTATTCTCATGTTATCTCTGATTAAGCACATTGCAAGCAAATAATAAAATTAAAAACAACATTTGGTACTATTTAACAACATTGTTGAAAGTCTGGTCGTGTGGGCTAGTTATGGAGTGATATATAAGGAACAATGAGGATTTACCCTCCGTTCTTCTGCCTACTTACATGTTGGTGAAATTTCCCAAAGTTTATCTTGCTGCTAACTTTAACACAGCTGTTCTATTAAAGACAGTTACAGCCCTTTTCCAGTCAGGGGAAAGACTCTCACTGAGTTATCAGGGGGTAGATTGGACTGTACTTACATAGAAAACTTCATTGTCCTGGGCTAATCATCCTGGCACACTTCAGAATTAAGTTCTTATGAAGAATGATGGCAGAGAGCAACAATTGCACATAAGATGATTAGTGTTTTGAAGGACCATGTTTTATGATCCTATAAATTGCCCGAGGATGCTAATAATTCGATTGAATGCTACTACAAATAGCACAGCGGAAAACAGCAGGATATACTGCAAGTAGCTAGCATACACTAATAGACCTGGGCTGACAGTACAAGAAAACAGTATATATTTAAAGATTTTGCTCAAAGTCCTACAAATACAACCACAAATGCAAAATCCAATTTTTTAATATGGGACTTAGAAGTAGTAAATAATTTTGGGTTATTTAAAATCGTACTGTTGCAGTATTCCTTTAAGTGAGTGATATCTACTAGAAGTTCTATTTTGGAATTTTGTTTTACAGAATCTCATCTTCCTAAGCAGGAAGATACAGATATTTTCTGCTTTGGAATGTTTTTGCTAGGTGTCGGGTTCCCAAGTTTCTTGTCTGTTCACTGTAATCGATTTCTGTTACTAAATCTTTGGTAGCTCTGGACACCTTGCCTCCAAAACCAGCATCTTGTCATTCTTTGCGGTCTCTGCTATGGGACTAACAACTCTGTGAAACTGTCGATCCAATGCTGTCTAGCACAGGGCTCCAGATAACGCCATAAATCCTCCCATCAGCCGCTCTTCACTGCGATCCCTTTCTGGTTTCATAGTTTTCAGGCCACCCGTGTACTTACTTGCCACGTTGAGGTTTTGCTGTCCCGCTGACTGCTGTGTGCAGCTTTGGCCTCGTTTGGCCGCTGTTGGCTGCCCGCCCAAGTGCTTTGCCCCTGCAGCCTCTGCTGTTTCACACTGTAGCTTTCTGCCTGATTCCGCTTGCCGAGTCCTCTGCCCCTGCACTGTTCAGCTGTAGCCTACAGCTGCCCTGAGTAGCCTTCTCTTGCTTCTTGCTTGCATAAATCCCAAAAGGAGTGGAGCTGAACATTAAGCAATTACAATTGAACAGATATTACTGATTTTCTTACTGTGGCATTCCTAGCCAATCACAGTTGTATGTTAAAACTGGCTTGAGTGCTATTTCAGAGTCAGCATTTGATTAAAATGTTAGGTTGGTTCCCCACCTGCTTTCCTACTTACTCTGTGTTTTTAGCAGAAGTGGAAGAGCCTGGTAATGCACTTCAAACAGGTAGAAGTGGAAAACCACTAAAAAACCTACTGCTTTTTTGAGTATAGTCTTGAAAGCTGTAGCCATTTCTCATGTGTAAAAGAACTATTTATTGTGTTGCATTGAAATCTGTTAAAAAAGCAAAGATTTCAGAATGTACACTGAAATACATGTTTTGTTTTGCTTCTACTTCCCATATTATTTTAGAATGACAAAAAAGATTCTGCAAGACATCTGTAAAGAGCAGAAATTATATTTGACCCCGTACTTAAATGATACGCTTTACTTGCATTATAAAGGTAAGATGTGGACATGACTGTTTAGATTTATCATTCTAAGTAGGATTTTGGCAGAGAATCTATTTTATGGCTCACTGAAGTTAGGTATCTAATAATTATTTTAAATTAGAACAATTTAATTTTATATAATAATCAAATTGTGAAACAAAATGAGTCAATATGAAGGTAGAAAATTGAGCTGGTTATAGACCTAATTCACTTTGTGGAGTCATTCAAAGGCTCAATAGGAATAAAGGGAGACTTGGGGGTTTTTTCCCCCCAAAACAGTAGCCTCTGAGAAATGTCTTAAAATACCAGTCTGGGTTGCATTCAGAGGAAAATATATGTATTTCTTCTTAAATGTGTTTGTATAAAGAAGCTGTTTTCCAGCTTTGGGGACTTTTTTAATGCCAAATAAAAACGGTCAGGAAGAAAATGAACAGTAAAGACTTGTTGCATGTTCTCAAGTACTACAGAAACAGAAAAGAAGTTGCTAGAATGAACATGGATCATCCTTTTGTGATCTTCGAGAGGGTTTTTACCTGGTACGGTTAGCTGGTTCAGGTTAGCTTAAGAATTGTTTTAAATCAATAGGACAGGCTAAATCTACCACCTACGTTTGGCCTTGTTTCTGCTATTTTCTCAATGTGCATTATTTGAGCATCTAAAGGGCTGCACAAGATATAGACCTGAATAGATACCTGTGTGGTTTTGCCCTTTATGGGCCACGTACTGTACCATTAATTCTGTGGAAATATTGGCAGCAACTTGGGTTCTCACAGGCTGTTTCCGCAGAGCTGGTTTAATGAAATTTACTCATCCAAAGACTTGTTTTCAGCAAATGCAATTTCATTTTAAAACATCTTTTTCTGCAGGATTTGACCGCCTGGAGAATCTTGAAGAGTATACTGGATTGAAGTGTTTATGGCTGGAATGCAATGGCTTAACAAAAATTGAGAATTTGGAGACTCTGACAGAGTTGCGTTGCCTCTACTTGCAACTCAATTTAATTAACAAAATTGAAAACCTTGAACCCTTACAAAAGCTGGCTTCCCTCAATATCAGTAACAACTACATTAGGACCATTGAGAATCTTTGTAAGAACTGTTGGTGCAACATGTTTTAACAAGCCTATATTCCTAAGCTTTGACTAAGCTAAGCTACTACTAGTGGCACTAGTTTCAAGGAGTTTTTTGTTCATGTTAGAATTTCGCACTGTGTTCCATACCAAAGTCCACAAAGCTTCTGTTGAAGAGTCAAACCTATGCATTTTGCAATTCAAATAGATGAGAAAACAGAAAAAACATAGTAATTACTTTCATGGGGTTTCTTAGGACAATTAAGTAGTTCTTCCTCACTTCTTAATACCATCTAAGTACTTATCTGTGTTGCAGACAGGCTGGCCATCCAGTTTTTACCATTTACTTTACAGCTATGATGTGCTTTGGCAGTTGCAGACATGATTACCAAATCTTTCACGTCTGTTAAAGGATTTATTCCACCTTCAGCAGAAAATTAAAAAGAATTCCTGTACATCATCATTTGTGTACATTGGGAGTAATTTGAAACAGAAGCTCTTGCTTTTGTGTAACTGAGTAGTTTGAAATGAATTAAAAACAACCACCATCCTAAAACCAAACAACTGTCGTTCCTGGGGTGAAGAAAGCAGCTTTGGGGGCCTAGCCAAAAAGAACAACAGAAAAAGCTCTCCACAATTCAATAGAAACAATTATTTTGACGATGCAGTTTTCTACCTGCTCCAGAAAACCCTCTGTGAATCAATGACCTTTCCTTTCATTGTACTGTTCTCTTCTGACAGCTTGTCTGAAAGCCCTGCAGACTCTGCAGATTGCTCACAATAAGTTACAAACAGTGGAAGACATACAGCACTTGCAAGAATGCCCAAGTATTTCTGTTCTCGATCTTTCCCACAACAGCCTAAGTGATCCAAATATTATAACTATTCTGGAGACCATGCCTAATTTGGTAAGTTGAATATGGCTGAGGGTTTGTATCATGTGTATGGGTGAATCCCATTAAATGGTTTTCTCGTGCAGTCCAGTGCACAACAGGTATCGGTCTAAAATAAATGTTATTAAATGTTATTTGGGTTGTTTTGGGGTTGTTTTTTGTAGATTAGCTGTAACATCCAGGATGTTTTATTCACTTCTTGTTTTTGAAATGATAAGGAAAGTGCATATCCAGATTGGGGTTTTTTGCTATTCAACTTGTTTCAATTGTTTCTCTTGTTTCTCTAGCACGTGCTGAATTTGATGGGAAATGAAGTGATAAAGAAAATCACTAATTATAGAAAAACACTTATTGTTCGACTAAAACAACTAACATATTTGGATGACAGACCAGTTTTCCCAAAGGATAGGTAAGAAACAGAGACATCTCGTTTACACAGCAGTAAAGCTCAAATTCTAATGATCCATTTTCTGTTAGTATTGTCATGGAAGGGAAGGAAGACTGGTATAATTTATTGAGAGTGGATGACTTTGAGTACAAGAGTGTTATACTACAGAGTTCTACATCTAACGTACCTAGAAAAAAAACGGGTATTTTTTTACAAGAGAGTTAATTCTTGAACAGACTTGTTTTATGCTAAGTCTGTAGACCAAAGGCAAATCCTGATTTTGATAGAAACTAAACAGCTGCCTGGAAAAGCAGAGCCAAGATCAGCACTCCTGGCAGGTCGCTGGTGGTGTAATTGCCAGCGAATTTGGATAACTTTGTTTCTTTTGTTGCAGTTCCATGTGCAAGATCTATCTGCAGCCCTGTTGCACAGAGATTGTCATTGCTATATGTTTTTTTTCTTTTGCAGCTATTTTATGCTGTTGCAAGCTATCTTTATTATTTTATTTATTCTTTTATAATTTCTCTTTGATTAGAAAGGTGGGCTTTTGTAGCTGTATTACAGTGAGCTTTTGTGTTTTCATTAGAGCCTGTGCAGAAGCTTGGGCTGTTGGAGGGCATGAAGCTGAGAAAGTGGAAAGAGAAAAATGGGAAACCAGAGAGAGAAAAAAAATCCAAGACAGCATCAATGCTTTAGCAGCAATCAGGCAAAAAGCGGAGGAAAAGAAAATACTAAAGCATGTGGAAGAAAGAGGTACAAGTGCAAAATGTGGAAGTGGAGGTGCAACAGACATCCTAGAAGGTTTGTGGTTACTGTTTTGGAAGATATCTGTGTCTGCTTCAATTTGAATATTTAAAATAAAGGAACAGTTCCTAAATGTTCAGAAGCAGGCTGATGCAATTTTTGGAAGATATTTATGAATCTTCTTTTCCCATAGTAAATACTTTATTAATCTTGGTGCATCTTAGATTAAGCAGAATGATGTTAAGCAATCGTCACCTTTCTTACTGCTGATAAAACAAAAAAAAACCAAACCACTTTCTGTCCCAACATTTCGAGCTCTTGTGCTCTTCACCAGAGCAACCAGGTGCTAGTCAGGGCAGTAGTGTTTCCAGCAGGCATTCATGGGTGGAGGCAGGCAGTTACACCCATCAGCATTTCCCCACCGATGCAGAGCAGGGCTGGCTTCCATAGGCATGCGGGCTCCAGTAAGACCCAGTGATAACCGCAGCACCAGTCCCCATCCAGGCACCTCTCCTGCTGCGTTCACGAACAGTGAGAGCTTCAGCCTAGAGCCTACAGCAGTGGTAATACAGGCAGTAAGGGGAAGGTCTTTAATGATTTGCTTCACTTACTGCCCTATTTTTGCCACAAATTCTCCTGTCACGTTATTCAAGGAGGCATCCATTTACGACCAGCAATAGGTGTCAGCCTAACCTTTCCAGAGAAGTATGCATGTTTCAGGACAAACAGGACTGAAGCCAAGTAAGAAGGCAGTACTACAGCGCAGAGGAGTGTTTATCTACCTATCTATCTGATATGTTTTTGGGTTTCACAGGCTCTGAAATCAAACATGGTTGACTAACAAGTAAAACTTTTTTTATGCAATCTACCTGCTTGCAAAGGAGAGGATAACTGCAGCATTTGATCCATCAAAATGATGGATCATCCAACAACTGATCCATCAAAATGCTCAAGCATATATTTAAATATGTAGTCACTTGTGAGTCTTTTCAAAGTTAACTATAGACACCAGACAATCAATGTACTGTAGTGTTTTCTCTAGTGGAGTTTTTTGCTGGGAACAGTATTTGCTAGGGAGTTGAGATGGGAAAACCCACCACGTTGCTGCAGTCCTGGGAGGACTACTGATCCATGAATAACTGCTCAAAGTAGGAGCTTTTGATGCATATTTTAGGCCAAACTATTAAGACCATGTAGTAAAGTTCAGATCTCTAGAATGAGTAGTGGTAGACTAACTCAGCACTTTTGTTTCTTCTGTAGGAGCACCTGCAAATTCACATGACAGTGATGGAAATTCTAATACATCAGAGACTTCAAGTATATCAGAAGAGCAAAAAACTCAAGAGAAGACTGAGAAATTTAGAAATGAAAGTTTTGATGCTTGTGATGATGTGATAACACTTCTACCAAATAGGGGAGAGAACACAGATTTCACATCTGGAAATATTCCTACTAGAATTCAAGAGGATGCACAAGAATCAGACTCTTACAGACGCCCAGACTTCAGCAAGGCGACAGACGGTAACGTACACAGTGAAGAATCAAACCAAACTGAGGATGCAGAGACAATGAGCCAAACTCTCAGACATCTCTGCCGTGATTCAAACTGGTTCATAGATAAGAATATCCCATTAAATTTCCACAGTGACTAGTTGAAAATCAAGTAATACTGGATAAAATATTCTCTAAATACAACACGCACAAAACATTTCTGAGGGATCAGCCTGCAACTTCTGCTACATAAAGGTGGAATTCCACTTCTCATATGCGCCAGGTTTAGGGACAGGACAGGAGACCTTATGGGCTTACCTTGCTCCCACACAAACTGTGCAGTCTGTCTGCCAACAGAAGCTGGACATCACTCTAGAGGTGGTTTTATGCCTTCACACATGGAAGAATGCTTTTGTAGATTTGTGGAATACATTATTGCAAAACGCAAATACTAATTTATACAATCTAAGGGAGACCAAGAAGCTGATGGAAAGACAGAGTGCTAGCTTCAGCTGTGAATTCTGCAGTGGAAGTCAGGTCCCCAGCAGTTTGGTGTTGTGGTGCTTGCTGTTGCAATGTAGAAAGTCTTTTATTCAGTTTGTTCTCTGCAACTGACTGTTGTTTATTATTTAGATCTACCAGGAGAGAAAGCAGCTACTGAAAAAGCTGTGCTTCCTGGGCTGGATGAATATGCTGAAATTGAACAGATCAAACTGGAGACATCGGAGAAACTTTATCTTGATGTATGTATTGGGTTCAGATTTTGGGAAGTTCAGATTTAGGTATTTCCTGCTCCCAAATTAATTCTTGTAACATCCTGGCTAATAAAACTACATGGCCAGGCTTCTAAGAAAGGTCTACTATTAGGAAAAGTAAAAGGAAAGAAAGAAAAAAACCCCCAAAATTAAAGTTGTAGGTGTATTCATTTTCTCCACTGTAGCATATGTAAAGAATTTACCACCACTTCCAAAGTTTATTTTGTCCTTTGGCTGTAGAACACCTGAAGTTGACCTTCTATCTCTGTGATTTCTCTGGGAAAGTTAATGAGGGCTCTCATTTAAAAAACAGAAATCACAACAAAAAGAATCTAGTGGATACATGCATCCTCTTAGGCAAAACTCAAATTACATACGTGGTTGAAAATGTGAACTATTGCAGAAAAGGCATAAGGAAGAAATAGCCATCCACTCATTGTAAATGTTAGCTAGCAGTATTAGATATTATAATTAATTCTTAAAATATAACTTTTAGGTGTATTTCCAAGAAAAGCAGAATGTGCATTACTCAGGTATATAATAAGCAAGTGATTGATATTTGTAATATGGTTTTCTATTTTCCAAGATTTCTATCTGATGATGCAAACATTTAAACATGTTTAACTGCATTTAACCACGAGGAGGACATAGATAACCATGAAAAATACAACCTCATTGCAAAGGAGAACTATTCAATACGTCCTAATTATGAAACTGCTGCTAAACTGACAGTGTCAGATTATGGTATAATTAGCAATAACAAACTTCTGAGCTTATGATTGCCGAGAGCACTTAATATACTCTTCAATCCTTAATACTGCCACTCTTAACTAAATTCTTACTGGAATGTTTTAGAAAAGTCTCTGCTCTTAATTTCCCAGGAAAAAATTCCATCCTGTTATCACAGGGCTTGACTCACGGCTTCAGTAGAGGGCCTTACTGCTGCATTGTCCCGTTTGGCTGATTTTAATAATAGGTTTAACAAGGATGGTGGAGAGAACGGGCAGCAATTTCAAGTAGATACAATATTATTTTTGTAAGCAGATCTTGCAGGGTCTGAAATAAAAGCTTTAAGAAAATAACAATACCATAGGTACCCACAATGTGATGATCTCATAGATGCAGTGTTTGTTTATCCCTTGGCGCGATATGGCACCATAGCACAGTCCTTTGCACAAAACTTAACGTAGTGTAAAAAGCAGCTCTTCAGTACACATGCTGGGGTTTCTTTTGACACATAAAAAGTGTGACTATTCTACAGCAGAAGAAACAAACCCAGATCACATACTAATACACATTTCAGCGGTCTATGCTACTTCGTTCGCCAACTGACGTTTGGAGATGGAAGAAGCTTTCGCAGCAACTTCCAATACTTACACTATCGCAGATTTTCCAGAGAGACTTAGCACTGACATAGCAGGGAATGGCTGTGAAGATGGCAATGGTGAGAAGCTCTGGAGCAGCACCGTCGTCTTTATTCATATTCTGAAGTCAGTAGATGGTCTCGGTAGTAATATAAGGGAGAAGAGTGGAGGAGGATTTGTAATGCGGTGGTTATGACATCCCTCTGTCAAGCAGAAACAAGCCCACGTTGCTGCACCTGCCTTGGCAGTGTTTGAATACATTCCATGTACCTAAAGCAGGATGACTTTTAGTAAGCAATTTTGGTTTGATCTGCAAATGCACGCTGCTGATTGGAACAAACTAACAGCTATTTCACTTCCCTATTGACATCAAATTCCACCTACTAACATTAGTCTCAAATCTAATTTAAGTGTTTTTAATGCTATTCTTATAAAAATACATTACTTCACGACATGCTGCACTAGCTACAACCATATCAGGAAACAGAAATTTCCTTTGTTGATTTTAGTTCTGTAATAATCTTCACCACGAAAGACGGTACAGATTAGACATTAGTTCCTGATGCTACCACACCAAGCAGCCTGCTACAAAATTATTAAGCTCTTAAAACATCTAAAAACAAAAGGAGAGGCTTTTACCAGTATTGACCAACACTAAAAAAAAGGCATTCACAGCAAAACATTGTTTTATTAGATGTATTTATGTTAACAGAGTTTACTGATAGACAGTTTCGGGTAGACTGCATATCTTGATTTGGCTCTTGCCCATAAAGATCAGTTCCAGTTGAGATTATGCCTATTGAATAGGTAAGAAACAGCTAATAGACAGAAACCAGGTTTGCTTTTAAAATCCTGTTAACGCCTTGCTGCTTATCCTTTTTTTTCACAGAGCAGAGTAGAAAATAGCATTCAGTCTGACATTAAGGTTATTGCCTTTCCCTCTGCTATTTCTGGAGACAGATGAATTTTCCTTTTCCCACATGTGCTTAACAGAAGAAGCTGTCGTCTCGGAGAGGATGGCAGTACAGGGTTCCTGTGGCTGTGGCTTCTTGCCTTGAAAAGCAAGATTGAAGAAGATTACCAATGAGATAGAGGTGTCGTGTTTTATTCGTTAAGCAGCTTTTCCCACTGACTAATGATCTTGTGATTGTCCTCAGGAACTGCCTGATTTAGAAGATATAGATATGAATGAATTTCCCCCAGAAGAGGAAACCTTTGCTGGAAAGGTAAGATTTATACTTATTCTAGTGATGAAGCTTCCCTAAACACATTTACAAGTGTTTTGCAAAATGAGGATCATCTAAGTTGTGAAATGCTGTTTTGGGAAATGCAATCAGTTATGCATTTATGAACTAAAATGGATGTTTCAGCAGATCTTCTCTATCCACTTGTAAATTTTTTTTTTTTATTACTGTGTTGCAAAAAATAGGACAATGAAAACCTAAGATCAAATAATGCAACAGTTAAAGAAGATTAATTTCTTAGTAGCATGTAGTGTTTTAGTGAAGATTATTCTTAAAATACGCTTTACCAGTACTAATATGCCACAAAGATATAGCACTGAAGAGATAGCGCAAATCACCTGCGGCTGAATAAAATCAGACTTCTCAACTGAAAACACAGAGAGATTGAAACTCCTCTGCTCCACTTGGGGCTAGTCAGATAAAAGGCGGTTCGTGCCCACGTTAGCATTGTGCTGTGCTCAAACTGATCTTCTAGGCAAAAGCCTAGGAACAGAAGAGAGAAAAGAAAAAAGGAAAAAAACCCACAAAGATTAAAAGCACAGCTTTGATTCTCATGCTCATGTTGACTCATACTTCCCTTGCTGGAGACAGAGGCTGATACAGTACATGTTTTTACAAGTCCCTCCAAGATAATGCAAACTTTTCCTACAGTCAGTGTAAGGCATGGAATTAGTTTGCTCTTTTGGTCACAGACTCATAACAGTGTTGCAAAAGGTCTTGGTCAACAGAGACTCCAATTAAAAGAAGATAAGGGAAGGGAACAAAGAGGATTATTGAAGGAGTACTCATTAGCAGCTCTCGTGCTCCGAAGGGTGTTCAGTTCTTCGCTGAAGTCCGATGAAGATGTTAGTCAGGTCCCTCTGTTTGGGGGTAAAGTAGTAGGACTGATCCCACACGTTGCTGAATTGCTGAAAGAGGTCATCTTTTTATGAACTGTTAATAGTTTATGGTCAGTTCATCGCTAATGCCTAAGAAAATAGTTAACCCAAGATTGATCCACAAAGAAGCAGAGCTATGAGTGTGAAGCAGATGTTCCATATGTTTTGGGAGAACAGCACGTCAAAGCTGACAGCTGTTATGTGGATCCAAGAGATCCAAGACCTATCTTTTAGTTTTTACATCTAAAGTAATATAGTTTCAATTATGTTTTTTACTTTCACAGCAGGAGTATCACCCAAAGATTGAAATAATTTCTGAAATTACAAATGACAGTGATTCTGCATTAGAGGAAAACAGTACAAGCATGTTTGAGAATTCAACAGGAGAAGTTCCAATAGCAATTTTTTCAAATGTGTGTAAGATGCATAAAGAGCGTGGAAAGGAGCACTTAAGGCCCTTTGTTGAAAGCCTCTTTACAGAGCCTGCTAATTCAGAAAGATACCTGGAGAGCAAAGATAAACAAGCAACCCCCTTGAAACCCTGGATACAAGAGGTTATCACCGAACCCAAGGATAATCTACTATTGTCACCAGTCTGCAAGCGACCAGATGACCCAAGCCTCGGGGAAGGGGACGGTAAGATTACAGTGACATAATTAATCACAGAGAAAAAGGCAGGTGGCACATACACACTAAAATTAAGGATTTGTACAGCTCGACATAATTTTCAATCCACTGTTAGTTCAATCACCTCTTCCTTTTATTTATGTGGGTAGCCTAATAAATTAGGAATTAAAATGTTATTTTCTCTTTTTCTACACAGGACTTCTTGCCGACTTTTATTTAAATAGTTTTAAAAAAACTGGGCTTTACATTTCTCTTTCCCCTATTAAAGACCACCAGTGAGTTTCATTTGCCTTTCACCTTCATGCTTTAACAGGGAATGGCAGTGAGGGAGAAGTGCAGTGCCTGGCCGGGGGTGAAGGATGTCCTCACGGAGTACAAGGTGACAAAGACAGTGAGAGTGGATTAGACTAATCACTTTCAAAAAAAGTCAGACCAAATCGGGAGCAGAGTGCCTGGCTGACTGCACGTGGTTATTCTTAAAATGCAGAGCTCAGCAAAAGGCCTGTTGGTTAAAACTGACATAACAGTTACTATGACATAAAAATCCACCGCCTTCAACAGGCGGACTCTGTGCTTCAGTCCTTTCAGTCCTGCTGTGGCCTCCAGCATCTGACCTTCAGGGCAAAGCTGTTAATTGTCTCGGCATGAAAACAGCTCATCATCCTCCATAGGCAGCAGGCAGCAAGCGCCCCGTGTTCCCACTGCCGAAGCTGCTGGACGGGCCTCAGCTCCAACTTCTTCGGGGCAGCTGGGAGTGTTCGCTACTTTGGAAATTAAGGCACTGCTGCTTGAAGGTTAAATTCCACTCTCTTGTGTCATTTTTTTCCCCTTGCAGCCTTCTAGAAATTACTTAGTTAAGTGTTTATATCTTAGGGTTTCAATCCGTAACATAACATGTTTCCATCATTTGAACTAAATAAAGATTCTCCTTCTAACCAAATACGCTTTTAACTTCTGTCATCTCCTTACCAGTATGTGTCATATCAGATGGCCTTCAGTGACAAATGGAGATTGCTTCTTAACATGATATTTTACGATCTAATATTCATAGACATTACAATTGTTTGTGCAAAAACAGATGCAGAAATAGTGTCCATGCATGGAAGATTTGGGTTACCTTTTAGGGTAATCTGTGATGATGCCCATACTTACATCTGCCATTTTCATCGTTTTTCAGTGTGAGATGTGTCTCAGGATCTGGATTTCGGAATATATCAGAAAAATAACCAGCCAGTCAGTAGCGGCAGACAGACAGCTTTGGTGTAAAAAGCCAGTCAAAGGAATTCTTCTTTCATTAGCTTCTCTCCACATCACAGTGGTAGTCTTGTGCCAAAGTGAAATGGAAGGTAACAGCAGTGATGCCTCAGCTTGGCTCTCTCTTCTTCCCTTCCCTATTTTTATTTTTTTTCCTTCTCCCCCTTCTGAGCTAGAGAAGAAAATTAAAGGAAGCGGCGAGTCGCTTGAGCGCAGTGCTTCCTCCGTGACACCACAAAAGAAGAGTTGGGGGAAGCGGACAACTCTTGGCCAATTCTGCAGAACCGTTAACAGCTCTCATTTTCCTAACACAGAAGCGGCTGTGCTAGTCAATTAAAAAAATAACGTACACTGTTTAAGCACAACATAAAAGAGTGGGCCTCATCTTCAAGGGCTGATGGTTATGACACAACAATTGCCACATCAGGAATAAGCTAGGCTTTAGGTGACCTCATGAAGGCATACCCAAGTTTGGGCAGATGTCTCTTTTTGTATTCCTATAACTCTCTAATAATTTGTTATAAACAGAATTGAACAGGTTTTGTAGATGTGCACATTTAAAGAAAAAAAAAAGTTGCGATGGGCATGTTGAAAAGATTTATTTCCAATTAGCTGGGCTTAGGTGCCACCTGGTGGCAAGAGAGCCGCTTCTAACCGTAACAGAAAATAACTGTAAACCCCCCCGGGAAGACAGCACAATTGCTTTAAACTTCAGCCATTTTCCACCTTCCATGAGTAAAACCCTATTGGTACAATCCTTGGCCTCCAGGACAGGGCAGGAGGACGAGCAAGGGCCCCATGGAGAGCAGCCTTGTCTGGAAGCATCTCCGCAAGAATCTTCTCTTGAGAAAGCTGCTAATGCTGCCCACAACATTTGCGAGCTCAGTCTGAAAAATATCTGCTTCCCTTTTTGGACAGAAAGTTGGAAAAGGACTGCTTTGAGGGCTTTGGGTTGTGCATTTTTTGTGCTGTGTTTTAGTGCCTGTCCTGGTACCCCCTTATAACACTAGGAGCAGATAAGCAGGAAGGACCACATCAAAACATCATGCTTAAAAAAGTGTTTCTAAACAAAAGATTTTAAAAAGTAATTCCAAGAGGAAGTTGGAGCTCTACTATCACTGAAAGCAAGGAAAAAAAGGATTAAAAAATGCAAGTAATTTCAAGAACTATAGATTCTTTTACTCTGATCCTGATTTTACCAGATATACCACCCTGACCAGCATTTTGGTTTGAGGAACTCGGATGCCTCCGGAGCTGTGTTTGCCACATTTTACAGGCTAGATCTCTCCAGCTCCTGTTTTTTCCCCACAGATGATCGCAACCTGTCAGTGGGTCCCACATCATCTCACAGGTGCGTCTCCACAATTCCTGGAAGCTACTTTCGCTTATCAGTGAAGACTTGGGAAGGAGGAAAGGAGGAAGGGGAGGGCGAAAGTAGCGAGAGAAAGGCCAGAGCAGGACTAAATGAGAAAAAGGAAACGTATTTAATCGGTGTTTTCTGTAAAACTTTACAAATGTACAGCATAGTGCAAAAACGCAGTCTCAGCACATCACCTTCAAGTAAAATTAACAATGTAAAAAGCCAAGGAACACACGCTTGCTTCTTCACAGGAGTGGCTCTCGAATACTGTGCCTGGAGGTTCCTCTCTCACCATCAAGCTCCAATCTCATGTTTATAGTAGAGCAAAAAGCCTAAAGAAAAACCCAAGAACCATCCCGAGTGGCTGCTGCCGCAGCCCCAGACGGTATCAGGCACCCCTGTTGGTCAGTGGCACCTTTGTCTACTTGCAAGTAGCTCTCCCAAGATGGGTCATTTCCCAACCCCAACTAGACAATCCAGTAAGACACTGAAGCCCATGTCTAACATCAAGCACGCGATAAGCTTCATAAAAATATGGGAAAGCTACTGACTTTCCATCGCTGGAAATGACAAAATACAGCGGCAAATGGGTCCATCTAGGTGAACTTTCTAAGCACAATCTGTCAAAATGGAAAACATTGTCCATGATACACTCAAGCACATCATCTAAATACCAGGCCAATGGGGTCTGACAGGATTTTCCCTTAGTTATTAACATGAAAAGCGTGGCTGGAATTAATTCGGAAACTCTCACAACCTTGCTCCTGCAGAGACTGCGCCACCAAGCTGGTGACAGAGCTCCCAGCAGGTACTAATTAGCTGGGGGAAAATGTGCTCAAAAGTGAACGTTTCTGAACTAACACATCTGTTCACATACTGATAAATGGATGGAGGAAAGGGCTGTGACAGGAAGGCCCGTTTAAAACAAGCTCATCTCAGTAAGGAGAATGTGAGGCTGCATTCATCTGATTGACTGACTACATTTTGGGGTGGATGCTGCTTGACCATTCAAGATGCTCAGAAATACAGTTTAGAACCAAGAATCATCACGGCAGCGAAAGCAGGCAGAGCATTTCTCCAAATGACACTGGCACAGCTTATACCTCCCTGTCGAAGCCCTTAGGAGGCCTGAGTTAGTTGACTTTCCTGGGTCTGCCTTACTGCATTTGGGTAGCTTTCCTAAGGAAAAGCAACTCAATTAGAGGATACCGAGATAAATAATACGTTCTCATTAGAACTACAGCATAAAAAACAAAGCTCTGCTTTGTTGAGAAACTCAGTTGTCAGAAACCACATGGAAGAGGAAGATTAATTCAACCTTTGGAAGCTGCTCAGATGCACAAAGGACAGAAGAAAAGTTAGTGGGACGTGGTGGACTAACCCTTCTTCTCTCTCCTACACTGAGCAGCTGAGAGTCCTTCTAAAAAGGGGATCCAATCAATTAAACTGGTTCATCAGATTTTATACATCATGAAACCAACAGGCACATCTTCAGGGGAAACAGAACAGGTCAAGGCCAAGGCAAAAAAATAAATCATTGGACTGGACACGGAATACTTAGCCAGCACCAAAACCCGGAGTGCGCTCCTTCAGTCCTCTTTGCACATGGAAAATTGTGTGTGCAGAAGAGGCTATCCCTTTTTTTTTTTTTTTTTTAAAGTATGGGGTGCCCTGCCTTTATGTTAGAGAAAATAAACTTGGGGGGAAAAAAAACCCAAACAACAAACCCTCTCACTCAGCATGGGATGTTTTAGGGTCTGTGGTGGTCTGTAGCTCCTCTAGGAGCCAGAAACACATTCTTGGAGTGGTCACTCAGAAAATGATCTTCTGCACACCCCAAGAGATCTTCATTTTCCTACTCACCCTAGGAGGATAAGGGAGAGGCACAAGTACATCCCATCAAAACCAGAAAATTTATAAAAGAATATTTCTGGAGCGTTGGACCAGCATATTGAACTATTTTCCTACTTAAAAAACAGCATCCAGGAGGGTCAGGCATCTTAGCTAATCTGTGCTGCCCCAATAAAATCCAACAGTTTGCCGTTGCAGACACTAGTCAGGATCACTTTATTAAGTCCCTGATGTACTTTCAAGCTACTCTTCACTTAATTTTTATTAGAAGATTTGAAATTTCTAAAAGCATTTTCAACAACAACAAAAAAATCCTGCCAAGTTCTCACTCCCCGTAGAGGCAAGCACCAGAAGCAGTTGTTTTGTTTTAAAATTGTTGTCCTGGGCAAACACTGAAATCCAGGTGCAGGGAGGGTAATGCAACAGCTACCGACCATTTCCATCTGCTCAAAAAGAAAGGGCACAAAAAGAAACACTCTTGTGGGTTTCTGAGTCACTTTTGTTTCTTTACATTCAAACCTGTGGATGCTTGGAGGGGTGGGAGGGAGAAGTTGTTTCTTAGAAGCTAAATCACTGGTTGTTGTCAGTTGAAGAGCTCAGGTTTAACGGGGTATCTCCTTGGACGCCCACAGAGGACAGGTAGGAAGCCATATTTTCAGATGGAACATAAAGCGATGAACTTTCAGGCAAGCTGATGAGGTCATTTCCAAAGATTGACTGACGATCAATAAGGAACTGCTGGGCACTTTCAAGATTTCCCTAGGAATGCAAACAGGCAACAGAAAGGCTGTTTCAGTTTCTGGAAGGCAAGTTACCAGACTTCATGTCTGAAGAACTGAAGTGTGGCAAATTCCCACTGCAACAGGAGGTGAGGGGCCTCACCGCAGGCAAAAAATGCTTGGAAACATTCAAGTCAAACTTGGACTACTTTTCCCACTGCTCAGTAAGTAGCTTCACAGTTGCTGTGAGAACAGTGCTGACTGACAATCATGAAAGTAAGGTAACAAATGTGGTTTTGTTCCCTCAAAGTGGCAAATGGTCAGTGCTGGACGTTGCATCTCGCTGCTGACATGTTTAACACCTTCATTACATCCCCATTCCCGAGACCACAAGAGCTGCTAGCGCTCCTACCTGGGCAGGCGTTGTTAAACGGTGGGTTGAACACTTTTGAGGGCAGCTCAGTTGCATTCTTCTCCAGATCCGCTGTGAGTCGCTGCATCTTGATGCAAAAATATAAACTACAATGTACAATTATACAAAGACAGGGGAGCTTGTTAGAACTAGGCCATTTCTGAAAATCAGTGCTTCATCAACGCTGCACAACATCCACCAGCAATGCAAGCTATCCTCCCTGCCCTGCTTGTCCTCCCAGTCTCACCTGCACTTTGTTAAAATAGCCAAAAGCGTGTGCTCAAAGGCAGATATGCCTGAAGGAGACGTCTAAGGCAGACGTAATCCCCGAGTAGCAACGGCTAATATGGTGTGAAGCTCGTGTCACATGAGGAGGCCAGCCTAGCGTCTCTGTGGCTGTCTCTGGCTGGCTGTCAAACAAAGCAAACCCACAGTCCTCTGCAGCCAGCAACAAGTATGAAAGGAATTTGCTTTCCATTTGCCTATGACTGTTTAAATTAAAACTAGCTTTTTCTCGCATGGTGTTTCTAGGCACGGAGTTCATGCAGGTGTTACTTCCAGGCTTCTCTATGCTCATGGCTTTCTGTAGGATGAGCAAGTCTAAGGGTAGGCAGCACCAGTTGCTGGGAAATTCAGTGGACTCAAGGACTGAACTATTGAACGTTGCAGCCTCCCCCTTGGCCTCTTCTCTTGTGCAATCCTTTTTAAAAGAGACCGCCTCTTGCTTCCAGGACTTGCTAATATTATCTCTCTCTTCAGAGTCTCTCCTTCCTAACACTCAGGAAGCAGAACTACCTAGTAAATTCAAAATTATTAAATCCAAACCTAAAGAGGATAGTGATATCATGAAGAAGGCTTAGGGACCTTTCACACTTCATTAGAACAGATTACACTTTGCTTGCGTGTCTGTAGAGATGGCAGAACCATCCAAGTCTTTATCCAACCTGGCTGGCAGTGAGGGCTCTGAAAATTCACCCTCCACCAAGCAGGAAAAAGAACCCAGCCATGAAACACACATTTCCTTCAGTGTTTATTAAATCACCATATGCACTTCAGAAGTGCCTGTGTCAATGTCAATTCCAAACAAGTACTGCTAAACAATTTCTCCTTGTTTCTTCTGTACAGGTATGCAGGAACCTCTATTCTAATTGCACGTGGCTTTACTGCTCCTGAAAGGTACAGGGACGGCTGCACTTTATAAAGGCATATTTTATAAAGAGCTTTGGCACAAAGATGCTTTATAAATCTATGGTATTAGCAGGATGTGACATTCACGCTAAGAGAAAGTTTAGAGCGGCCAGTTTCAGAGACTCCAGGACACCAACACGTCTCTAAACAAGCTCTGGGTGGGAAAGACAGGTCAGGAGTATAAGATAACACTCTCAGCCTACACTCAGGAGATGCGTACTTGCTGTGCTTTACCACACTCTCCCCCTCTGGCTATAAAATAACCGAGCATTTTTCAGTTATGCACAAGCTCTGCTTCATAATTACATTATTATTATCATATCTCAGAAATACACATCTCTTACCGGGGACAGACTGGCTTCCATTTCAGTCAAATTCCACTCACTCAAAGATAAATTGGGATTAAAGACCTGTTGGGAGAAAAACACAATTAGGGCTCTGAAAGGTGTAACGGTTCGAGATACTCGTATCCTCATCTGTCTGCCTTGGCTGCCTGCCAGAGGTTGTGGAGATGCCAGAAAGCAACGCCTGCCCGTGCCGCAGCGGCTCTGGCATATTAACTGAAGCTACAGGCGACAGTTCCCATGTGTTGGTTTGTAGCACAGCCAGAAGAGCAAGGGCTGAGCCGTGGGCACTTGTGCCGATCCCAAGCCTTGCTGCCTGCCCGTGGAGGGACAGCGCAGCCACCCGGTGCCACAGTCGTGTCGTAAAGCAGGGCAGCCCTTCGTGTCACTGCACATGCAAGCCAAAGCCATTTTTTGCCACGCTTGGATCCTAGGACACTTCCAGATTCATGTGTTTTTTTAACAGCATTCCAAAACACAGTAGCAGAGGGCAGATTACTGCTGCATCTGTGCCTCGATGGTGATTTCTTGAGAAGTCTGAGCAATCTGGGAAAAGGAGCTGTTGGTCTGGGGTACAGTTTTATGATTCATTCTCTCTCATGACGTTCAGTTGCACAGAGAGAGAAAAGTGTGTCAGTAACAGGAAAACACCTCCTAATGAGAAATAAGAAGCAGAAACCAATAGAGCCAGTGATAGAGCAGGCCATTAGAAAAGCTTTCTGTAAAGTCAGAATCACGGACACTTGGGAACTCGCTTCAGGAGAATAAGATTGATTTTTTTTTTTTTTTTTTATTATTTTTTTGTTCCTGTTTATCCATGCAAGCTTACCACATGCCTGCATCTGAAGCACCTCCTCAAGGGAGCATATATTTGACATACAGATACTTTCACTACGTACAGTGTTAATTGATTATTGGCAAAAACCTTTCATATACTAACTATATGTACAAGGAGAGAGCGAGTGAAAGAGAAAAATAAACAAACCTTCATATTTCTGCATATATACTTAAGAAAAAAGCCTCCACCCATTTCCAGAGTGACCTGAGAACTGTAGACAGATAAATATCTCAGCAGAGAGAGAGAATTTGGCATCAGCTACGCTTCCCACAACTTGAGGAAAAGGGAAAGGTAGTAGAGCTAAACACAATCTAGGAGTACCTAAGATGCAAAATATGCAGAAAATAAACTAACCCAACCCAAAGCAATTACCAAACTAGCCAGAGTAGTATTAATCCTATTTTATGTAAATGTGCTAGGTCTCGTGATGGTGTCTTTACTCACATGCACCATGTTTTGTGTTCCTAGAAGCACATTTTGTCCTCAATATTTTGTGCTCAAATATGTGTATTTTCAGAAGAAATGTAAAAAAGCATCATTTAAAGTGTGAAATCCTGCCCAGGTCTTAGGAACAGTTCAAAACAGAGCTGTGACTCTACTGGCAGCGTGTGGCAGATGAAGTGCCGCACGAGACCAAGCAGCATCGTCTCCCTGATTTACAGCCCAAAGGTACCGCTGTGAACTTCGCAACCGTTCCCCACAGCCGCCCCGGCGGAGGGCCCAACACTCACATCCAAGAGGCTGGCGGGCTCCAGGCCGTACTGCTGGCTCCTCAGCAGCAGCTGCAGCCCTTCCAGGCTCCAGTCGGTGCCCTCCAACGGGTCCGAAATATCTGTTCTGAGAAAGACAAGGGGGAAATATTGCCACGAATGAGACTTGCATAGATACATACAGAAAGCAGGACTGAGCAGCCCTGCCAAGTGAGGTTTATGCTTAAATCTCATTTTGAAAACCAAGAGCCCGCTCTCAGCCTGGGTTTATGCCCTATCACTTGGTTTAACCCCAGAAGTACAACCCAGCAGAGCCCCGGGGGACTGGACTAGTGGTAAAACAAGTGAGACTACTCCTCTCCTGGGTGACGCATGTGATTTGGGGATGGACAATCTGTGCACATCTCTTTGAGACTGGGAACAGTAAACCTTGCCTCAGAAGAAATCCTTCTAGAGAGGCACTGGGGATCCAGGACAGGCTGCTTTCCCATCCTCCTGGGTCCAAGATGGCTGAATTACTATTAACTAATGGCTTTTAAAGAAATTACTTTTACGTGCAGGCATTCAGTCTGCAGGCTGCATTTACCAAAGACATTCAGCTAAAGAAGCAACTGTGAGGCCCTGCTGCGTTTAACCCCTCCAAAAAGCTATAAAAATTTATCTTAAAATCCAGAATCTTTACAAATGGATGATTTTTCTTCTAATAAAATGTTTTTAAGAAGCCAGTGGGTTCAGAAGGAAGAATTTGGTCTGTAAGGACCCAAAGGAAAATAAAAGCCTTTCTGAGAACCCTGTTGAGTGTTTTGGGTTTATTTCGCCCCAGTCCTCCTTACGTTGCTGCCATCAATCATAGTTGCCATCATACTTGCCATCACGAATGAATTCTGCAGTTAACTACCACGCCATCCACTAAGCTGCAGCCACGCTTTCCTACTGCTGGTGAAGGCTGCTGCACACTCAGCCACAGCATCGCTGCCCTTGGGATTTCAGCCCCACAGCTCCAAAGGTGGCTCCCCCAGATCTCCCCATGGCTGAGCCTAATGACTCTGTGCTAATCCCCCTTGCAAGAGGACATCATTCTCTGGGTGACTGTCACCTGCAGGATACTTGCGTGCCCTGGCTTCAAAATAATGAAACCTCCACCCCTTTGTATCAGACTTCTGCACTCGGTGATCACAACCTCCCAGCTCTCCATCCCTGCGAGTGGCCTCACTTGCTGTTTCCTGATTTTAAGGCACGATTTTACACCCTTTATAAAGCCTTGCTTTGGACTGCCTAGCATTTCACTGAGCCCCTCCAGCTCAAGGAGACAAGCACAGCAATGCAGCTAAGTTCCGTGGGTTTTCACTCGCAGTCAGAGATGGGGAAGTTGAGATCTCTTGCAGCGTCAGCTCCCCAGCACCTCCCAGAAGCGCGCAGCCCAGGTGACGGTGCCAAAGTGACTGGCTGCCCCCTGAAGCCAGACCTAGCACCGACTCGGGAGAGTGGCCTTGGAAAGGTGACAGGAGGAGGTGCAAAGGGGGAACAGACTAAAGAGAAAAGTATTTGAGTTCACAGCACAGGAGAGGAAAAGAAAGGGGGCAAATTATCTCCTCCTCAAGCCCAGGCTGGGGCCTGATAAACGCTATAATGCCTTATCAAATACATGCCCCACTTAAGTGCAGAGGTTATGACAACGATTGACTGTCACCTTCCATCGCTGCCTGCGTATTGGCACAAAAGCGACGCCTTATTCACTGCGCAGAAACACCAGCGACAAATATTTCCTTACGCCTTTACACAACCGAAGACTCAACCAAACAAATTACAGAGGGCACACGAGCTACTGGAGGTGTAGTGCGGCCCAGCGGCCTGCAAGTCTGCAGGCATGGATGCTGGTCTGGGCTCCAGCTTTCACCTTGGACCTTGGGCACATCCCTCTCACTGCAAAAAGCCTCTTCCTGCTCCCATGGCTCTGATGCACATGCTCTGACAGCTCTTCCTCTGTTGGGTCCTTCAAGCAAGTCATCCACAGAGCCCCTACCCCTGTCAACTATCCCCTGGGCTTCAAGGGTCCTCTCAGCAGGTGCCACAGGGGCAGGATGGAGCTCACCAGGCTGCATTAGGCGACTTAAAGTCAGCCTCCCTTTCCCCGCCACTAATGGGAAGACAGGGCTATGAAACACGCCGGGCCACAGCTCTCCCTTGCTCCCCTCACCTGTCCAGCAATGCCCTTCTGCCTCTTCTCTCGGAGGGTTGTGAGGTCCCTGGTGGGGCTGCACCACAGCTCCCTTTGCCTTCCAAAACGGACTGAACCATGGCGACCGGGAGCACCGGCGGCTCGGAGCAAGCCCGGCAGCCTGGCAGGGGGACATCAGGCTCAGTGGTGGCTTTCACTCCAGGGCTGACTGGCTCTTCCTTGATCAGCATGAGGCACTTCTCTCTGTATCAGAGACAAGACTTAGCACCACACACACATCTGCTCCACAAAAGGCCTCTGTGCTATGGGAAGGGGAATAGCTCGAGGGCTTGCCTCCACTTTCCAAACTGCCCCACAGAGTCCTTCCATTCCCCTAGACAGGCAAAAAAACCCAGCAACCTTGTTTTCTTTTCAGCAAGCTCCAGAAACATGCTCAGCTGGAATATCTTCACACACTTCAGTCACCGCTATAATGAATTTTCCCTATTTTGCAAATTGGGAAAATACACTTCCATGTGGTGATCACTCCTCAGATGAGTGTCAGGCTTGAGACAGGTTAAAGGGTCACCAGGCTAGAGAGGTTCCCCTGAAAAAGAAAAGTCTCCACCCTAGAGATGGGAATGGGATCAGTAAGACTTTCCCATGCTGGAGTTAGGACTGGACCAGCAAGCACTCTAGAGATCCCAATGAGACAGGTCAGGATCTTGTGGCCCTGCAGGATTTGGAACAGAACCCATCAAGATCTGACAGTCCCAGTCAGATGTTTTACTTGTTTGGAAGCAGAGAGTTGCCTTTTTCCAGTGGGAGAGGCACTCCGCGTTATTCCTAGACAGACATACGAGACTGAAGTTTTGAACAGCAGCACGTCATATGTAAAAATCTAAAGCTACTCTGTACTACTTACAGGAGACTTTACAGCTCCCTGTGAATGCACACAACTGGACCCAAAGTGGCAGAGGCATGTAGATCAAGAGGCACAGGGCATGGAAAGCCATACTGGAAAAATACTATCTTACAACACTTACAGACTAGCTTTGCTGCAAGACCACACGTGAATGTGTCATGCATATGGGATGGTATCATAGAATCGTTTAAGTTGGAAAAGACCTTTAAGATCATCAAGTCCAACCGTTAACCTAGCACTGCCAAGTCCACCACTCAACCATGTCCCTAAGCACCACATCTACACGTCTTTCAAAGACCTCCAGGGATGGCGACTCAACTGCTTCCCTGGCAGCCTGTGCCAATGCCTGACAGCCCTTTCAGTGAAGCATTTTTTCCTAATATCCAATTTCCTAAACCTCGCCTGGTGCAACATGAGGCCATTTCCTCTCATCCTATCGCTAGTTACTTGGGAGAAGAGACCGACCCCCACCTCGCTACAACCTCCTTTCAGGTAGTTGTAGAGAGTGATGATGGCTCCCCTCAGCCTCCTCTTCTCCAGACTGAACAATTCCAGTTCCCTCAGATGCTCCTCATCAGACTTGTGCTCCAGACCCCTCACCAGCTCCGTTGCCCTTCTCTGGACATGCTCCAGCACCTCAACATCCTTCTTGTAGTGAGGGGCCCAAAACTGAACACAGGATTCAAGGTGCGGCCTCACCAGTGCCGAGTACAGGGGCACGATCACTTCCCTGCTCCTGCTGGCCACACTAGTGCTGATACAGGCCAGGATGCTGTTGGCCACCTTGGCCACCTGGGCATGCTGCGGGCTCATATTCAGCTGGCTGTTGACCCCCTTTTCTGCCGGGCAGGTCTCCAGTCACTCCTCCCCAAGGCTGTAGCGTTGCATGGGGTTGTTGTGACCGAAGTGCAGGACCCGGCACTTGGCCTTGTTTAACCTCATACAGCTGGCCTCAGCCCATCGATCCAGCCTGTCCAGATCCCTCTGCAGAGCCCTCGTACCCTCCAGCACATCAACACTCCCGCCCAACTTGGTGGCATCTGCAAACTTACTGAGGGTGCACTCGACCCCCTCATCCAGATCCTTGATAGAGATACTAAACAGAGCTGGCCCCAGTGCTGAGCCCTGGGGAGCACCGCTTGTGCCTGGCCACCAACTGGCTTTAATTTCATTTACCAGTTCTTTGGGCTTGGCCATCCAGCCAGTTTTCTACCCAGCAAAAACCATGTGACACTACAAAGCCTTCTCTCAGCATTCCTTTCAGATCATCTTCTCATCTCGTGATCCTAAACCCCCAGCAGAAGCTCAAGTTGATTTAGGAAGTAGCACACTCCTGAACTTAATAGGGCCATGGCTGGCTCAGATTCCCGAGTCGTGCAGACACAGCATAGATCAGAGGCCGCCAGACGGCACTCAGTAGAAATAAGCAAATTTTTCTGCTTTAGAAATGGTTTCCAGGTTTGTTTTCTTTTATCTGGAGCTCTTTACATGCTTCTAGCTAATTTTATGGCTATGGTTTAATTATTAGGCAGATTTAGGGGCAATTTCTGGAGTATAACTGCCTTGCCTCTATGCCCAAGAAACTGTTTCCATGATTCATCTGTCTACCTATTTTCCACTGACATAGTTGTAGCTATTCTGCTACTAGCCCGACATACACTGCATGTCTGTGGCAGGAAGAGATAAGCATTAAAATACCTCTGCATTCAGTTCTTAAGTTACTGGGACCTTTTCACAGATAAGTTGTCAGACATCGGAAGTTGTGATGCAACCTTTCTGTTCTCCTTAGCAGAAAGATGTACAGTTTGATTTCGTTTCTTCTTTGTCAAAGCCAAAAGGAAACTTGCTTTCTCTCTCTCTCTCAACAAATTCAACAAGTGTTAGTATCTCATTATTTGATAAAGCCCGAGACAGCCCCTGTCTTGGAACAAAATATAAAGAAACATGGAATACTTCTCAAAAAGGTGAGTGGCAGTTCTCAGCATCAAACTCTTGACTTTGTTTTGAAGGTTATGCTGTTATCATCCCTCCCTAATTCTGAAAATCTGACCCACATTGCAAACTGGAAAAAAATATTCCAGCCCTCCACCTCTATAGAGATTTGTGAATCAGACAGAAACTTTGGTAGAATTACAGCCAGGAAAAACTCTTCTGAAGTTATGCATGTCCATACCCGACTCTCCCTGTTTTTAATCACAAACATGTTTACCTGTCATTTTCAGGAGGGGACTGAATATTTATTATGTTGGATGGTGATGCTTCAGTAACATCAGATATGATGGGTCCTCCAGCAATTGCAGGGCTGTTTAAGCAAGAGGCAGGTTCTGTCGATGGCTAAGAAGCAAGCAAAAATCATACAGATTTATCCTTCTGAGTCCCAGAACAAGTCCGAGGCCTCATCTGAGATAGTTAGGGTTTACTCACTATGCCCTTGAGTCCTCCTTGTACAGAAACCAAGAAAGCTTTTGCCTACTCTGCCGCATTCTAATTTCCTCTGGTCTTTCCTTCAACCACACGGAGGTGCAGGTGTAAAATAAGCACTGTGACTGAATTGTCACCTACTGAGAGGTTTTACCGTGGCTGAAATTTTACCGGGACTGCTTAGCTCCCCCCGGAGGGAAAGATCCAACACAGCCCAGCAGGAGAGCATGAGTCTCTCATGCCAGCTCAAGTATTTTAACTGCATGACGTGTCATGTGTCTGGTGTCTGCTTTGGTGGGTTAGGGTGGTGGGGATCCCTCAGCGACTGCAAAAACCTGGCTCTGGTCAGAAAGATCATAGCACCCACTTCTAGAACATACTTCTTCCTCTCTGCTCTTGAGGTGAGCCAGGCTGGGGTAACACCATGGAGAGTTTGGTGTGCGGAGTCCGCCTTTCCCTCCCACAACCCATGGCCTCCCACACGAATGCAGCAGCACAAGTGCATACAAGCATGAGTCTGTCCCTGAAACAGGGGACCTGAAGAAATAACATATGTCACTCAGCTTTTCGTCACTCACTTTGCAAACCTCTTCTCTTCTTCACTGCCAAACTCTTGCCAAACTACTTACTCTGTAATCTGCATTATTGCTTCAAACATTTTTCCACGCTGGCCAAAGAAATCCCACAAAGCTCAGAGGCTGGTGTAAACCTACCGACTGTATGAAATAGGGGTCATGGAGGGGGTCCGTAGACAAATGTCGGCTGAACTTGGGCACTTGCGGAGCTGAAATTCCGTTGTCAAGCATCAGAGGTCTGCGAAGAGAAACAGGTTTGTTTTCCCAGCACATACTGACTGGTTCCTGGTTGCTCATACAAGAAATGTCTCTCAGCCTTTCCACCATGAAACTTCCCATGTGGAAGTCTTTAGTTTTGTGATACAGTCCCAGAGAAGCTGGGAACTGGTATATTTTGCCACACACCCACTATTGTTACTGCTGGGATGGTCCTACAAAACTGCCTAGCAAACCCCTCTTCTTCTCCCACTGTCCCAGAGTCATGAAAAGCATCTTCAGTGTTGATTTAGAAGACAGTGATTTGGCAGAAGGCACCAGGGAAAGCCAACAGTTTTTTCCAGTCACATCTAACAGGCTTGACTAACTCCCTTCATCCTACAGACACTGGAGCTGGATATGTTGGGAGAAATTATGGGTTTGCTCAGACTCCAATTAGATCCCACAGCAAAGGCTTTATACAGCAGGACACAGTGACCACAGTGCTTGAGATCTCAGTGTTGTCTAACAGCTCGTTTAACAGCCTTTTCCTATTCTATGACATTAACTAAAGACACAGAATAAAAAAGAAGATTTGAATCACCCTGTCACGGACCTTGTTACGGCATAAGCTACCTTTCAGTACCCACTGAGATATCATAGTCAGCCCTGTGACAATCATGAATTTGTACGTGTCCAGCTTTCTGCTCCAGGAGCCACAGATGAACCTCCCCATCCAACAGTTCTTATCAAAATAACTTTGGGATCTAACCCATCTAACAGCCTCCCAGGTCAGATGTGCCCGTGGGACCTACAGATGTGCCCATCCTGTACAAAGCCACCCGGAGCCCCCAGTCAGCACTCGGGTCTGCACCAACAGTTGCTCCAGGCTGTACACGGCGCTTTCCTGCAGCCATTTAAAAGAGAGGAAGGCAAACAGAACTGTGAAAGACAGAAGGGTGGATATAGACACGAGAGCTGAGGTGCCTTGAACACAGACCTTCACGTTTCCAAGGAAGCAGAAACCCAAATTAACATGCACAATACTGTGCAAACTGCAGCTGGGTTGTGTCAGCGTGATTCCCTCTTCATAAGGAGGCTGACACAGTTGCTGTGCAGATAGTTCTGTGCTGTTCTGCCCCTTTCAGCACAGTTTCTAACTAACGATGTGCTTTTTTCAAAAAGCAGTAGTCTAAGATGACATTTCTTGGGCTGCCAAGCTTTTACAGGGAGGCCACGGCCCGGATAGTGGAAATTAGAGATCAGATCTGGCATCTCATTTCTCTGCTTCCCCACTCCAGAGGAAAACTTCCCCACTCATAAGCCTCAGTGACTCAGAGCAGCTGATCTCATGCCCTTGAACCCTCGTCTTTGCTACCGTTCTCCGTGCAGTGTTTATCCCTTCCAAGAGGCTCAGTAGAGGGCATAGGTAGAGGTGAACACACCCAGCTTCCTCGTCCAGATTTTGGGCTCCTTCATTCAATCCTGTGTTTCCTTTACAGCCCTCACAGGAAGAGTCCAGCCAAGAACAAGGGCACTGACTTAAAGAAAATCAAGGCCCTTGAGCAGCTGTTTTGGGGGAAGCATGGCTCCTTTCTCCAAGGAGCAGTTTCTGAGTTGCCAAAGGCCACAAGGTAATAAAGGTGGGAAAAGGAGGCAGGTCCCTGCCCTCAGCCTGAGCCACAACGGCAAATTCCCCTTAGCAGCCCCTCTCCCCTCTTTAGATCACAAGCACCACAGAGCAAGAAAAGTGTCACTGCTCTCCTGGAAGGTACTAAACTTCCTAATTCAAGCTCCTCTATTCACTTGCCTTGAAGAGCTTATTTATGACTCTCAAGATACGCCTTAGTTAAAACCTTTCTCCACCTTTGTCTCTCTCTCTAACCTGCAGGTTATATGCCACCAAACCTGTCGGATACACTCCCCATTCAGTGACTGTGTCTCAAATTAAGGTGTCTGTGGGATGGCTGTGTCCGGCCCTGCTCTCACGGATGACAAGTGGCAAAACTGGAACCTGGAGGAGCAGCAGTGGGGTCCTGCCCTTTACCCTCCCACTCAGTAGTGTGCCCATCTTCCATCTCGCTCCCTGTTCCCCAAATAAAGGTCACGAGCTGACACGGTGCTTCTCTAAAGACCACTGAATGGGGCATGTCAGCAGGTCTGACTCGGCAGTTCAGCCCATTCATTTCCCATCACCATGGTGCCCCGGTCCGGTGACCGCCTGCCTGGGCAAGCTGAGCTTGTGCTTTTAGTGAGGGGGCAGCATTATGCACCCGTGAGCGTGTGCGCACCACACAAGGGTACTTACAGCTTCCTCTTTATCCCAGCGCTGCTAGGGCTTGATTGGAGCTGGCCAAACAGAAACTGAATCAGCTGTCAGGAGAGATCAAAATCCGGTGTTAATCAGCAGAGTGATTCAGCACTCCCTGCGCTCGCAGCCGGTCTTATCTCACACATTCTCCCTCCCGACACCACCCCGAAGCTGGGAGCAGCCATGAAATACGGGAGCCAAACTGCATGAGGCATCGAAGCCCACTCAAACAACCCGTCTGGCTTTCAAGGAACACAGCCAGGTGCCTGCTTCGTGCGAAGGCTGCTGGACACAGGTGCTCAGCACTCGCTCTCTCCACCTCTGTGCATGCAGAACTCCAGCTAGCCCTCTTAGACTTGGGAATCTGCCTGTGAAGTGCACAGACAAACACTCCTAGGCCTGGAGTTAGACTTGGCCTCCGTAAAAGCCTTTAGAGCCCTTTATGGGAGGCTCTATAAAGTCTGATAAAGATCTTGCAAGAGAAAGAGGCAACCCCCTAGGGGAGACCCTGGATGGAGGCCTTCCTCTTTCAGTTGAGTTTTTCAGCCCCGTGAAATTCACTGTTGATGTAACAGGACACTAAAAGGGGTGCAGGGTGGCTTTGGAGAGGAATCACTCAACAACACATTCCCAGGCCAGCTTGAGCCTAATGCTCTGCTTTGACCTCCCAACAAAGAGAGCACTATTATTACGTATCACAGCTGTCTCTTACTCGTTGCTCAATACGACAAAACAGAGTTGCATAAATGCCTCTGCAATGAGTGGCGTGGCTGGTCCAGCCTCAGAGCCGGAGGAAGGTCTGACAGCCTCGTGCATTTCTAGCCAGTCCTATGACTCTATGATGCCACGTGAGGGTCAGAACGTGCCTCTCGGGAGGATTGGGAAACGTGACGTGCTCAGTCACGTCAGCACCATCTGGGAGGCACTGGAGAGGCCTTTTCTAGTACTGGTCATGCTAGATTTTAAGGGAGATGGCTCCGCAGTGCCTCTTCAGTCCAAAAGGTTCTACAGTAATTCCTCAACTATACCAGTAACACCAGAAAATGTAACAGTCGCTGGAGGTCCCCACTGGGGGAATGGCTAGCCAATTCTGCCGCCTGCAGCTTCAGTGCTGGCAGGAGGGGGAGGCTCCTCTCTTGTAGGAAGGAAGGAAAGATTTGGGAAGCCCAAAGGCATCGGTACAACCAGAAGACAGCCAATACAGGGCAATTAGCAAGAGTTGCGCTCTCTTGCTCAGGACAGAAAACTGGTTTCTAACATCACAGCAAGGACTGACAGGGAAATTAAAAGCTTTCGCTCGAGGGCATAATCTATGCTTTGTTAATGACCACTTTCCATAGGACATGTAAGAGCATCACACAATTCAAAAGAGAGGGAAAATAAATACGCTGCGATATCACGAGTGTGGAGAAGATTATGGAGTAAGAAAAAAAAAAAATCTCAGAGGAGGACATACACCATGCAGCACAAGTGAGTGTGGAGTTTATCTGACCACTACCTTGTTGATCACTTTCTGTTGCTGCGAGTGGTTCTGTCGGAGAGAAACAACTTCCCGCCAAAGAACTTCATTTTGCCTGAAAGTGAAACAGAAACTTTCCGTGAGCACAGAAACATCCCAGCAGCCCATGGTGCCACCGTGATGCACAGTAGACCAAATTGTGCAAAGTCTGTCTCTCTCTGGGGCTCGTGCAGTGCTTGGCACTTTTCAGATGTCCCAACCAAGGTCACACGATTACGTTCCTTGTTTTAATTCAACCTCAGAAGAACTACAGACCAAAGCTTGGAGGAGAAATAAATAAAGAGAAGCCAACATTTATAGGGGACGGTAACAAGAGGACACGTGTTTAGCTTTTGTGGAACATTTGGGCCAAACTCAGAACTTCAGCAAGGCCTGATTTGTGACTGTGAACGATGTGGATCAGCAAGACTGTCCTTCCTGCAGGAGCCAAGAAAGCCCAACCCTTCCACAACTGCCCCCGCTGCCCCCAAAGACCAAGAGATCCTATGGAGAGAGATCCTATGTATTCTGCCTGCTGAAACCTCGCACACGTGGTGGTACAAAGGCATGTTTGGGAGTGACCGGAGCAGCTAAAGGGATGCTTCTGCATCTGAGCACCTTGAATGAGGAGGACTGTAATGATTTTATTAACGAGAGTCACTGATTTCATCCAGCACAGACCTGCGTCCAGCTTGCGATTGCACGGAGCATATGTATTTTGTCTGCAAATGCAGCACACGGGGGAGTTACAGGCTTCCTCCAACAGTCAGCCCCAGAAAGTGGGATGGGGAGGTGCAGGGTTTATTTACTGTGCTGCCTCCAAACCCGGCTGCCGGCCAGGTCCCTGCTGCAAAAGGCTTTGCCAGCCAATTTAGCTCAAGAGTATCTGGATGTACCAAAACCGACAGGCCAGCGAAACCTATCGTACAGGTGAAATGCGAAAATCCTTTTGCTACATGTCTTTTAGGTGTTTTTCATCTTTCTAGTGTGGATTGATGCTAGAACTGGGAAGATCAGGTCCAGGGCTCGTGAAAGCACAGTAGCTGCCCTACTGTAACAGCCTGTACAGCAAGAATCTCTGCAGCGAGCTTTCTGCGCTGGTACTGAACAGGCTTTTCAGCGAAGCGGCTTTCCTTAGTCTGACAGCTGGCACCGGAGTTATGGCCTCATGGCTCTTCACCAGTGTAAATCTCTCACCATGGTTTCAGCCTGGGATTTCTGGTTCATCTTAGTTTATAAAAAATGTATTGTTTTCATCAGCTGAGTGCAATTTTGCCTTTTGACAGATGGGTGGAAGGAGCACGCAAATCAAAAGGGAGAATAAACTAAAAGCAAGGCCAAATCATTGATACTGGAATTCACTAAGAACAAGCCTAGCAACTCTTTCATGGCCACCGTACCTGGATTTCATGATTTAACGCATGTGCTAAGGTGTGGGAGTCATTAAAATTTGAGAGAGGATAAAAACATTTATCTGTTGCACATAAGGGGCTGGGCTGCAATGAAGTTTCACAGTACCTGCAGTTCTCTCAAGGCCCAGGATGCCAGCATCCTCTGGTGATGTACGAGTACCAGCTTTCATTATAAAAGAAGTTTTGGGGTCTTACTGTTTACAAAGCACTTGAAAAATCTACATTCTCTGTAAGGATTCTGGAGGCTAATAAAAACCTCTCCAAGTACACGATTTATAAAACCGTATCCATCTACTAAACTCCTAGTCACCGTGTCTGTCTCAGAAAATCCCGGAGTCTCAGACAGCTGGAGGTCAGGCAGCCACATGCAAGAAGCATTTCCATTTCTTGTTTTGCTCTTATACAACAATTTTAGCCATGTCAGAAGTCACAGTCTTCAGATAAACGGACTAAACATTCCAGCAGCACTTCAGGCCAGTCATATATTTTGGAGGTGGAGGATGACAGAGATTTTTTTTTTTTTTTTTTTATAGTTGGAGTGGGCACCACCTCCTTTCCACCAAGGACTCGTCTAGGTGAGAGAAAGAATCACACCTTTACAATCATTTCTATCTGGAGGAAATACAGTTATCTGAGTTAAGTCCCCAGGTTTTACATGTATTTCCTGCATGGCCTCCTCTGTGCTTTCCTCATTTGTAAAGGGAAAATATAGATTAAAAGAATATGTCTACCTTTCACAGAAGACAGAGAGGCTAAGCATTAATTGATATTTTGTAGATCATCAAAATTTTGTAGATCATCATGAGGTCTGCACAGAAATCCTACATGTTATTGTTCAACAGGTCTAGTCCCTACGATTAGTCCCTGGCTCAGCATGTGCTCCCTGGGAGGAAGGTGTGTAAGGCTCCTCCTTTCCAGCATTCCCCAAGATCAACAACTCTCGAGAAGCAAATGCCCGTAAGAAGCAGCCTGAGTAGGATTCAACTCACTGCTTCATGTCCTGCACTTGACACTCCATGTTCTCCTGCTGACTTCTCAGTATCTGTACCTCATATAGCAATCTGCTGAGGTCCTCCTGGCGCATCTTGGTCTCCTCACTTTTCACTACGGACACCTGAGGAGGAAAAAAAACAGAGGTGGATTTTACCAACACAAGAAGGGCACGGACAGAGTCATTGCTGGGGCTCGGGTGCAGGACTTCCACCAGCTGGGCTCTGACGTGCAGAAATACTGGGACAGGAGATGCGTGCACAAGAGCCTGAACTATCCTGGGGGTATTACCGCAAGGGTCAAAGGGATCAAACAGAGCAAAGAGCAGGACACAGAGGGTCTGTTGGCAGCAGGAGATTCTCCACTAGAGTGGGGACTTATTCCAAAGCAGCTTGGGAGTGGCGGGGGGGGAAGATATTTTGAGGAACGGGGCAGAATTGAACTAGGTTATTTGATTAATTCTTTCTAATTTAACTACAGAGAGACCAAATCCAGCTGTATGTTTTACAGGAATGAGTCTGAGGAACTGCTTTAAATTGATACATTACACCTGGATTTCCAGAAGGCTTCTGCTGAAGTCCCTTTTCTCAAGCCAATACGCTAATTTAGTAAGAGAGCAGCCCTTTTGGGGCATCAATGACAGGTTAAAAGACAGCACACAGAAGGCAGGAGTAGGTTATGGTTTCTCTAACAACCGGAGCCGGCTGTTGGGAGACCCTGCAGGAGTTATGTTGCCGTTATCCAGGAAGGCGGGTGACGATTCCAAAGCAGAGCGGTGCGAAGCAGCAGCACTACACGAAGGTCTCGTGACACTGAGCGATGGAGAAAAAAAAAAAACCACGGACAAAACTCTGACGAAGGCCCAGACCTGCACACCGAGGAGCCCTGCCCCAACCGCGCGCCTATGTAAGGGGAGGACAGAGACCGGACCACAGGGTGACCACGGAGTTCCGCGAAGCACTGTACAGCACGGCGATCTGAAGGCAAAACGAGCATTTTGGGAGTTCTCAAGAGAGGAACTGTGGTAGAAACCCCGGCAATGAGCACGGAGTGCTGTTCT